CCAAATCAAAGGGGCCCATGGGCCTTTCTTCGGAAATCCATTGGGGGGGCAGTCGGCTCCAGAAGGGGACTCTGCAATAGCACACCTTTGGAAAACACACGTTGCCTGCGGGACGGACACCGCCAGGGCGTGAAGCCCTTGTCCATAGCCATTTTGGCCGCCAAGAGTTCCAAAGATGATGATTCCATATAGTTTTTCATGTTCCGTGTGCCTCTTGGCACACCTCCATATATGCAGCTCGCTCATCATCATGAGCCACGTTGAATCGCCGCCCGATCGACCTTGCAGCGCAGCCTGTCCAGACATTGCCGTTGCAGCGCAGATCGACCTTCCACCTGCGCTGGCCATTCCACAAGACCTTCCATCATCAGATGACGCAGCGCAGATCGACATTCCACAGAGGCTGGACATCCCTATGATAGCAGAGGCAGAGGACAGCCTGCAGATCAGCATCCCTCCTGCCGCCCTCGTGCCAATGCAGATTGAGCAGCGCAAGTTCACGAACCGAAGTTGGCAACACATCGCACACGCTCGAGCGGCAAAGAAGGCGACGTACGACCAGAGAGTGATCCTTCATATGACCAAGCAACTGGCATCAGCAGAAACTCGATTTCATGCTGCCACATCGTTGGTCCCATCAGTATCGAGGATTCTGGGGTCGAAGTCCAAGAACACCGGCAGGAAGCGCATTGACCTCTTGGAGCCAGCAGATTTCATTGTACTCAATCGGGCATGTTTTTTACCACCATCATCGTGTCTAGCGCTGGGCGTGAAGCACCAGCGAGTGATCGCAGCAGCGGCGACGTGCATTCAGAACAAACAAAAAGACGGGCTCGCCACAATGATCGCCAATGCAGAGACCATCGTCGATTTGGTGGGCGGTGTGAAGGCGCACATTTCATACACGCACTTGTGGGACGAGACGAGAGTTCGATACAGACAGCATGAAACAAAAGGACGGCAGACCAAGATGGGAGTTCATGTTCAGACTATGGCGCAGCGTTCGTACATCAGGTTCACGCTGTTTGATGAGAAGACGTCCCAGAGCAGTTCAACTACTGAGGTGTGGTTGGCACGACCGATTACTATCCAGGGTACGAGTGCAGTCGAGATGCTTCCAGGGATTCAGCGACAGATGCCGCTCCAATTCGACGAGTCCAAGTTGGAGGAGCTTGTGAGTACAGCACGGTCTTGCAGCCATATTACAATAATGCCGATGTGCGACAAAGCCTCTGGGAACCTGGTGCTGCTACGCCACTGGGGATACACGTTGCTTCAGATGCAGGCTGCAGCGCCAGAGGTGGGCAACAAAATTCTTTATTGGGCAGATTGTTGCGGAGTTCATCTTCACCACAGAGGAAAACTTTCATTGAATCAGCTTAGACTTCACACGATGCGGCCATACAGCATCGCCAATTTGTATCGTCTCCCCGACATCAGATCACGCATGATATCGATGCTGGAGGTTCACATTCGAGCCAAAGTTCAACGAGTAGTTTCAGCAGGGCCCCGAACTGACACAGCATTGCGCACATTCGCTCGCATAGTGTTCGACCTCGAAGCTAATTACCACAGGCAGGGACATAACCACGAACGTCGTTCACAATTCTACAGAGACGTGGAACATCTGTGCGAGATGGTCAACTGCGACCTCGGCCCGGATGCGGAGTGGGTGCATTACTGCTCGTCTGGAGATGGTGACCAACCGTGTTGCGCGAGCCTGGAAGATTGCAAGCATCGCACAGTGGTTGCTTGCATCAATTGCATGTTCGGCAAGGCCGACCCGATCCCAGGCGAGAGCCGATGGACCCATCTATTGCCAAATTTTCGCATGCTGTGTTTGCGACGTGTCGTCTTCAACGTTGGTCTGGAGTGTTTCGACGTCTCGGTTGGGGACCTGCCTGACACCGTGGATGGCCAGACGACAGTCGACATGGAGGCAACCGACGACTACCAAAAGAAGCTCAAGCAGTCCCGCGTCAAGAAGACTGCCGAGTACTACAACAACGGTGAACACATGATGGAGCTCCCGATACTTACCGTGCTGGTTGGCATCTACGACTTCCACTTGCTGTACCCGATGCTGGGCGACCCCACGAATGTGACAAACGAGATGGGCGAGAAGGGCAAGGCGAGCAAGCTGGACAAGCTGTTGTGCAAGAACACGAGCCTCATAGGTCAGTGCTCCGAGAGGCTGTTCGCTAGCATGGAGGCTTGGCGGCAAGGAGGCGATCGGAGGGACCCATGGTGCGTCCTCGACATGATGGGCATCCCAGTTCAGAGTGCTGCCGTGATGCGTTTCGCTCGCAACCAGACTTTGAGATTGGCTGGCGGTGTGTTCAGGCGTTACGAAACGAAGTATTCGTCCAAGCCTTACGACATGCACGTTCTATCGCTTAGTACTACCACTGCAGAGCAGAAAGCGCCTTGCATCGAGCACCTACTGGCTGCCGACGACGACGAGCTGGACCTGTACAGCCGCGGAATCCGCAAACTGTTTACTAAGGAGGAGTTGGGGTCGAAGGAGTGCGAGCCCCTTCTCAGGTCAGATTTCATGACGCACGCTTTCAGCACTGACGTGATTGAGAGGCTGAACTCTGAGATCACCCATGGCGTGCCTAAGCGAGCTCCAGCGACCAATTTCACTCAAGCGGCGAGGAGGAACCTTCTGAGCCAAGCGGCCGCGATCCATGTCTAAAACGGTGGGCGTCATCCAACGAGATCCATCAACAAGCCACTTACTTCGAGCATGGAGGAGATCGAGCGCCCACTGTTGCTGTGCGACCCCCCTGACGCAGTGGAGTGCGTCATGGCACAAGCCGCCACCGACTCGGCCCTTGTCCATCCCGAGCTGGCGGGTTCATCGGCTGCGGCGGCGCTGCCAGCTGGCCCAGGCGCCGCGGCGCAGGTGTCCGAGGATGGCGTCGCTGTCGTTCCTGTCGGGGACCAAGGCGGACCAATCTTCCCACCTTGTCGAACGGTATCGGGGTGCATCGACGTCCTTCCGCACGAGAACCCAAGTACTAATAGTACTGGCAGGTTTGCACCTGGCCTCAACCCTTACTTGTTGGAGAAGAACCAGTGGCTGCGTGCTGTGAGGGCGCTGAGAGACTCTCCGATGACCGATGAGGAGGTGAAACAGGTGACGGAGGAATTCCATGTCTTCTGGGAGAACGTCGCCGACAAAGATTGCCACAACGAGGCGTACGACGAGTGGGTGCGAGAGAAGCAACAACATCATGAACGAGAGCGGCCCTACAAGTACGTGCAGCAGTGGGGGGGCGGGAGCTTCGTCTCGCCAACCAGCAGCGACGAGTTCTGCAAGCACATCAAAGGTTCAAAAGGTTGGCCAAGCGATGCCGACGTCACCGACGCCAACCACGAGGAGGGCCTCGCCAAGGCAAACTACTTCGTGGATTTCGGGCCTTCGAAGAGCACGAATCTGTGGAGCCTCGGAGCTCGACCCCACGACGTGAACCCGATGAAGGTCGCGGGGGGGAGGTTGAAGTTCACGCTGGTCGAGAAGGGCATCAGCAACGTCATTGCCAGGCTGAACAGGACCAAGGTGGAGTCTGGCGACGTTATGTTGATAGTGGAGGGCCCGGACATTGCTGGTGGTGGTCTTTATCATCGGCTACTCGTCCAAGTCATCGGGTCATGTTTTTCACCTCTTGTGTTTGATTTCGCACGCCACAGATGGGGCAGAGCTTCGTCGGACAGCGATCGCCCTTTACTTTGCCCTTGTCGGGCTGTCTTGGGGGGGCGGGCATCAAGGATAAGTGATAAGTTCAAAGTCGTGAACGCGCAGACGTCAGATGAGTTTGTCCGCGAGTGCTGTGAGTTGTTCTCGGCGATGGAGCTTTGCGAGGTGGAGTGGGACCCCATCGACGTGGACGGTACTCTTCTGTGGGTGGAGGTGAAGTCCGCGACCGCTCTCGGCACCTTGTGGAAGGAGGGCTTGCGCGTCCCACTGGGCAGCGCGGCGGCTAAGCGAAAGGACACCAGCGCCTCGACCTTCAAGAAAATGAAGACGGACGACCCCCTGAACCCATCCAGCGACACGGCGAAGACGTCGTCATCGTGCGCCGCATCGACCAAGGCTGCCAATGGGAAAGTCGATCCGACAAGTGCATGCGGCCCGATCGCAGCAGCAATTACAGGAGGACCCGAAGGAGCATTGGGCAACGATGCGGCCGTGGCTGCGTCGCTCGGCGCGGCAGGGGCCGCCGACGCAGGTGCCGACGAAGGCTTTCAGCTGGGTGCTTTGGACGGGGAGTTCGCGGTCGCTCTCGGCGAGATGGACGTGGCGGACCAGGAGGACGCAGAGATCCATGGCGGCGATGACGACATGACAGAGCTGCTCGACACCTGGGGCGGCAACCAAGAAGACCACCATGACGAACGTCCAGACGATGGCGAGATCGACCTCGACGACCCCATCCTGCTCATGTCGGGGCGCTTGCCAAGATGTATGAGGACGCAGCTGGCGGCGCTGATGTCCCCAGTGGCGGCGCCGACGCTGGAGTTGAAGATGGGCCTCTTGCCGAAGATGTTGCTGAGCCTCCGCAGCCTTGGGAACAACTTGGGGAGCCAAGTGCGAGCGGATTCGTGGCGTACAAGAACCGAATTATCATGAGGGTTCAGCGGGGTCGGCCTGCCAAGAGCGTTACCGTGACGTGCTACCGTCACACAGGATGTTCATTATGCATCACAGAAACGCGGTGCCCTGCGGACCAGGAGCTGTTCAAGTGGCTCTTCGAGGGCGACCCCAACAATGACGGCGACTCCAAGGACCAGAGGCGCGAGAAGGCGCGCATCCACATGGATTCGGCCAAGAGCAGGTGGTATGCGAAGAAGCCTGCTGCGAAGTGACTGACCAGAAAAATGAAACCTCAAGAGCCCCCCCCCAAAAAAAAAATAACTCTGAGCCCCCCCAGCAGGGCCCTCAAGAGACCCCCCAAGAGACCCCCAAGAGACCCCCTCAGGATAACTCTGGGCCCCTCAAGGGACCACCAAGAGCCCCCAAGAGATCCCACCAAACGAGCCCCCAGCGGTTCCCAAGATGCCACCAACTGGCTGCAGCGAGTCTCCCGAAGGGGCCCCAACGAGACCTCAACGCACACCCGATGCGTTTCAAACCAGGGTTGGGGGAGGCGGGGTGGGAATAGTTAAGACGCCGAGCCCGACGAAGCTGACGACGATTACGACGACGAAAACATCCTTGACGACGACGCCTCATTATTCGTCGTCGTAGTCGCCGACCGCCCTCCCTTCATGCGCCTTGTACGGCGCGCGGCAAACCGTTCCATGACAGCCGCCCTGCCCCGCCGCCAGAGGGAGGAGGGGGGGGAGAGGGCGGAGAAGTTTTGCCGAATGACGTCGTATGAGAATCCACCTGTGCGCCCGTGGACCGTAGTGCTATCCTGTCTGAATTTTGAGGCGGCATGGTGCATGGGTGAGCCTGAGCGCGCGTAAAGCCGAACGAAAACAACCATGTGTAGCTAGGCCTGAGCGTGGCGAAGTGCGAATGTGCATGAGTCTGCGAATGAACAAGTCGGCGCACGCGCGAGTCTGAGTACGAGTGGGAACTTGGCTTGGCACCCCAAGCTTTCGGCCTTCAATGTTATTGCGTTGCCTGCCCACGAACAAGTAGGTGATACATCCCTGAGGCAGCTGCCCCAACCGCCTGCCCCCGACCTGCCGCCGCCCGCCAATGTCGCGACAAATGCTGGGCTGTCTGCTTTCGCGACTGGGCGCGGCGAAGAAGGTAATGGCGGGTGCGATGGGGGGCGGTTAAAGGACACTCGGCTCGCAATCAATTAAAGTTATTCCGTCGCGGTGTGCCTTCCTTCAAGGTCAACGCGCAAGCTTGCTGAGACGCTTAAGCTAACTGATATTAAAAGAAACACGTCGGCACGCGCAGCTTCGAGTGCCCCGTGAACGCGCTGTTCGCTGCTATCGCTTATCTATCGGCCACCTCTCCGCCGAACGCCCGCGTTCAAGGTTGGCGTGGGGGGGGGGTCGGGGGCGATAGTCGGCCACGCGCGCGCTGCGCGCGAACGATAGCCACTTGATCCAGACCAAGCCATGCGCAACGTTATATGGCTGCGGAAAGTGAGGCTACGCGGCCGCGAAGTTCTAGCGCACGGATCGCCAGTAACGTCATTGGCATTGGTGACGCGCCGCCTGGCACAGTGCTGGCTGCCCCGCGCGGGGTGTTCCGCGGCCGCGCAGTCGACCGCGACCTTCACGCATAGGGGGCAACAGGGCACTTATGGCGCGCCCCGATGGGGCTCGGCGGATCGCCCGGCGCTCAACCGTCGGCGATTTCGTTGCCCTAGTGGACACTGCCGCCCCCCGTGAAATCACCGTTGCTTCTCTGGGCGCGGGCAGCGTAAACGTCGCGTACCCCCTTGCTTCTTTCGCAACAACTGCGCTGCCACGCGGGGGGCCAGCCGCTCATGACCCGAACGCCCGCATCGCCGAATCGACGGCAATTGCGCGGTCTCGGTCGCCGCAAGCTGCGCGCTTACGTTGAAGGCTTAGGGCTGCGCGAACTCAACATCTCTCGCGCGCGGCTTGCGCCGCGCGCCCCCTGCGCATTATTCGGGCTAACGGCCCCGTGAGCGCACCCAGAAGACTCCGCCGCTGACGTTGCAGCGCCCGTCTGCCGTGGCGCTCCGTGGCGCGCCCGCGCGGCGCGCCGTCGCAGCTGGCGCCCAGCCTGCCGCTGCCCGCCCGCGCAACTCGCCACGCGCCCCCCCCCCCCACCCAGCCTCTTCGCCCCCCATCGCGCATCCACGCTCACGCCATGCACGCGCGCGATCCAATGCCAGCGCGCGCATTTCACGCGCACGCACGCAAGCACACGCGCACGCTCGCGCGCAAAACTCTCACACGCGCGAGCGCCACGCCAACCGCCTCCACCCCCTCCCCCCCTCGCTCGCACGCGCGAGCTAAGCCCCCCCCCCCCTCCCGCCCACCCACCCCACCCCCCGCCCCGCCCGCCCCGCCCCGCCCAACCCGCCCTCCCGCCCGCCGCCCCCCCCCCTCCACCGCGACCACCACCCTCTACATCACCACGCACCTCACTCCATCCCCACCCACGCATCCACATGTCAAGCTCCCCGCCTCCACCGCCATCGCCGCCGCGCGCGCGCCCCCGCTCGCCCCGCCCCGACTTGATTGCCCGCCGCCGCTCCATTCCCTCACCCCAAATGTCTTGTCACGCCACCGCCGCCGCCGACGCCAGTTAGCCCGCCCGCCACTGCTGCGCGCTGCCCCCCCCCTCTTCCCCAGCGCCGCCCGTCGCGCCAGATCGCGCCGCTTCCACCCTCCCAGCATCGGCGCATCACCACTTCCCATCCCGAGCCACCGCCACCGTCGCCGCCACCCCCGCTCGGCACGACCATCAAACGCCACCGCGCCCCGTTTCGCCAACGCTCCCACCGAGCCCCCAAGCGCGGCCACGACTGGGAAGCGGAACCCCATGCGTGCTGAACGAATGCAGGGACACACGTTGGACCCCCCCCCCTCGCGCATGGCTATCGCCGCAGACGTCCTCGCGCCCAGCGCCGCTCGCCCGCCAACCGACCCGCCCGCGCCCGCTCGACGCTCGCTCGCCTCGCGCGCGCGCCGCTCGCCCCTTCCACCCGCCCGACAACGTCGCGCGCCCCCACGCTGCGCGCCCGCCACCGCCGCGCGCACGCACTCGCGCGCGCGAAGGCTCGCGCTTGCCCGCGGGCGCATTCACGCGCACGCACGCGTGCGCGCATCCCCCCCGTGTCTCGCTCGCGCGCACGCACGTTCGCTCGCTCATCTCCAAACACCGCCACCGTGATCACGCCAGCCCTCCGAGTTCGTCCACGCGCGCGCGACGCGCGCCATCGCTCGCCACTTCACAGGCGCAACCGAGATCACTAGATGGCCGTTGCAACGTCGGTGCGGTTTAGGTTCGCCGATGAGCCAAAAGAAGAGCGCGTTCTGGACGTGCCGCACCGACGCGAACTTACCTTGCGCAGCCAGCGCGTCGCCCGCGCGGCATTCCGAATATTCCACGCACCCCCGCGGCGTCGCGTTTCCCAGGGCTGGTCATAACTTGATCGCGCGCTGTGAAAAAAAAAAAAAAAAAAAAAAAAAAAAAAAAAAAAACAGCGGCGGCTGCCAGAATTACTGCTCTGGCTAGCAACGCACGGCGCATGTGCTACAAGCCACCTCGCGCCTGCCACCGCGCCGTGTTGGAGGCGCCAAGTGTCCGCGACATCGGCGCGCGAACTTAACTCGCGGCGGCGAACGAGGGGGGGCGCAGTTGACTCCAGCGGGGCACATCAACTGGCACCCCCAACACGAGACGCCGACGTCAACCGTCAACGTCGGCAGTCGACTAGGCGCGTCAAGACGTCAACAGGCGCAGTCGACAGGGCGCGTCAAGTTGCGTCTGGACGTCAACAGGCGCAGCCAACTAGGGGCGTCAACAGCAGGTGGGCCAGTCAACAGGGCACGTCGACGTCAACCGTCGACGTCGACAGTCGACTTCAACTTCGAGCCCAGCAGGCCAAGTCGCGCGTCAACATCGCAAATGCGAGGCGAGTTGGGAGTCGCTTCTTCCTTGAGCGAGTTGTCCAGACTCCCGCATGCGCCCCCGCCCCTCCCACTTCCCGTCCCAACAGCCACCGCCTCACCTCCCTTTTTCGCGCGCGCGCCACCGCCTGCCACGCCCATCCGCGCGCCCCATGCGCGCCTGAGCCGTCGCTCACCAGCTCGCCCACTCGCCCCTCGCTCTATCGATCCCACCTCCCCCACGCACTTACACCACCCACAGCATTACCGCTCGCCAGCATTGCACCGCTGCGCATATTTCCCAAGCACCTGCCCTTGCCAACTTACCGCCCGCCCCCACGCGCACGCAACTCCTTCTCCTTGCGACCGCCCGCGCTCCCCACCGCCGCCACCGCAGCGCCCGCCACGCCCAGCCCCACTTCGCTCGCCCCTGCACCCACGCGCTTGCGCCCGCGTGTGCGTGCTTTGGTGGATGGGGTGGGCGGGTTGGTGGGGTGGGGTGGCGTGGGCGCGCGCGTCGGTCAGTGCGCTTGCGTGTGCGTGCGTGGGTGCGTTGTTGCTTGGGCTCGGGAGGTGGGCGCGCGCGTGCGTGCGTGGGTAGGGAGGTGGGCAGGCGCGCGATGGGCGCGGCGGGATGGCGCGCGCGTTTTGGGCTTGGGGGATGGTGTGGTGGTCGTGGTGGGGCGGGTGGGTGGTGGGGGTGGGGGTGGGGGGGGGGGTGGGGGGGGGGCCGCGTGGTTCGGGGTTTGGCGAGCGGCGTGGAGGGCGCGCGGGCAATGGTGGCGGCGGCGGTGGTGGGCGGGCGGGAGCAGGGTGCGTAATGCATGGCGTGGTGGGCGGGTTTGTGGGATGGCGTGGTGGGGCTAGCGTGCGTGGTGGTCGGGGGCGTGGATGTGGGGCATGGTGGTGGGGGTAGCGGGGCGTTGGTGGGGTGGGTGGCTGGGGGGTGGGGGTTGGGTTGGTGGTGGGGGGATATTTTTTGGGAGTGATTGGGGCGGGGAGGCGTTGGGGCACGGGCACAAACGGTGGCGGTGGTGATAAGGATTGGGTTGGTGGTGGCGGGGGGATACATGGTTGTCATTGATGACGCCGTGGAAACTCTGCGTTTTTGCGTTTGCGTTTTGGTGTCGCGCGCGTTTGGTTTGCCACCGTTTGTCGTTATTTCGGCGTTGTGTTGGGGGGTCGCGCTACCTTTTGTTGCCGACAAACGGATTTAAGCAATTCCCCATCCACGCGTCGGTGGCCCTCTGCGGGTCGGAGGTTCATTTACTCGTCCGTAGCCCCACAAAACTCGGATGGACCTTGCCGTTTCGTCCCCTGTGGGTGATCAAAAGAATAGCTCGCGGCCGCGCCTGCAAACCGTTTTGCGTCGTGCCAGGAGCGGGAAAGCGAAGACCACACCGGGTAGGTTTAATTTTTCTGGGTCCCCGATCTCACAACGTTGTTCCCGTCTACGAATGCCAGACCATCTTCTGAGTGGGGCTTGTGATACGCCTGGCATATATTGCTATATCGTGAGTATGGGGCGATGTTGCTTCTCCGATGTCAACTCCAGTGTTGATGCCTTCTTCGGCTACTTTCAGGCAGCCCAATCATGTCGTAAGTGTTGGGGTTCAAGCTAGCCGCTGCGAGCGCATCCCGCGTTGCCCCCCTCAACCTTGCATTCACAGCGGCGGCGCTGGCAGGAGGCTCCCACTGCATCCTTGCATCTTCGGTTCGCCCACGCCCTTGTTGCCTCGCATCCTTGGTGCGCGCCGTCGCTGTGGGCATTGAGGTTGTCGCAGATCATTCCCTGAACCAGAGATGGCCGATGCGAGCAGCAGTGGCAACATTGGCATCAATTCTGTGAACGCCAAGATGTTGAAGCAATCCGTGGGCGCTTCCTGCGACAAGTGCATTGCCACCGCGCATCGTAAATTGAACGTCGACCATCCAGCTGTCAGGGATACATTGGACCGCCTGCATCGCCTGAGGAGTGAAAGCGACGCTCTGTCAAGGCGTCTTGTTAGGTTGTCGAATATCAAGAGTTTGCAGAAAAGGGCGGCCTCCACCAAGATAACGATTGCGCTGCCTGACAAGGGCCAGGGGGCGCCTCCAGCCATGGCTGAATCCGAATCTGATTAAGTTCAGCCCAGCCTTATTGTCCGCCTTGCGTGGATTGGCTGACGCTGTTCGCGCGTATGCTGCGGCTCGCTTGATTTGCACCAGTGTATTTTTGCCTGTAGCCAGACTCGTGCGCTGAGCACCGAGGTTGTGCCAACGCAGCCTTTGCAAGTCTGCGTGAGCTTGTCTGCGTGTTTTCGTTCGGGCATCTGCGAGGCGGGGAAGTCTCATATTTGGTTCCGTGGTGATGCCCTGAAACTGTTGAAACGCACCCTTGGGCGAATGCTTGAAGGAATGGAGGGGCGGGGGAGGAGGGCAGGGGCAGGCGTGGGGGAAGGGGCGGCAGCAAACATGGGAATGGAGGATTGGATGTGATAGCGGTTAATGGGGGAAGGCTCTTGGAAGACCTTGGCTTGCCACCCGCTCGTTCCTTTGCCCCCTCCCCATCCCCAGCTGCACGAAGCACGCAGCTGTCCTGCGCTGCGAGACTGGAGAGAAAGAAAGGTAGGACATGGGAGAGAGAGAGGGAGGGAGGGGGAGATAGAGAGAGAGAGAGAGAGAGCGAATGAACCAACATGGCATAGACATGAAAAGAACTGGTTTGAGAACTTGTTGGGATCCGTGCTCCCCGTATTTATGTTTGCTCCTCGTCATCCTCCTCGTCCTCGCACGCCTTTCCTAGTCTTGGCAGGGTCCTGGAGAGTCTTGGAGTGTTGGAAGTGTTCGGCGGCGGGATCGCATTCTCTAAGCTTCTGGGGTTCCCATGCTTAAATCTGTGGTGCATCATTTTAGCTTTGGGGTCCAGGTGTCTGCTGAGGAGGCTGGACAACGAATGTCTCTCTCCCCCCAAGCCCACCATGAAAAGATCAGTTATATGACTGTTGTGGGTGGTAGTTTCGATGCCCCCACAGAAGCGACGTCTCACTTCAGAAGGGGGGCGTTGCAAACCACGGGGGCCACCAGAAAAAACAGCGCAAATGCCCAGGATGAGCAGGCTCAGACACACGGTGGGCCGAACGGGGCCATGTGCCCAAGGCGGCGCGCCCTCACCTCAGGAAAACAAATTGAGGCCGAATGGGCACGTTCTCCCACGACCTCCTCCTTCCCCCCCGTATCTCCATAGCCATTTTGGCCCAACCTGGGCGATGCCACAGCCTCCTAGTATGGTGGCGTGCCCATAGTCATCTTGCGGGTTGGCAACGAATACCAGTGCACGCAGCCTCTTGCACCAGCTATCGCATTGTCTTGATGGCGGCGGCAATCACGACGAAGGAAGAGCACGAGCAGCTGGAACGGGAGTTGTTCGAAGACGGCTCGTGCGAGGGCAGCCAACAGGCCGCCAGCAAACCCAATGGCGAAGGCCCGAGTTCTTTTCAAGTCGGCCTGTTCGAGCCAGACCCTGCGCGTTGCGCCAAGTGTTTCGATGACTTCGCTGGGCAGAGTGGGCTCCCCCGGTCGCCTGGCGGACATGGTGTTCACCCTTCTTCCACAGACCACAGCACGTGCCAGCAATGCCTGGACTTGAAGGAGTTGGTGTCTGAGAAGCTGGACGGACCACCCGGCACGGTGGAGTTCCCCAACGACAGCGACGCCAATCAATGGCCATTTTTAATACACTGCTACAGGGTGCTTCGCCATGGGTCGGCCGACGGCACGGTGACATTGCACGAGTTGGCCATCGAGTGGGCTGAGATTGCGAGCAAACGGTACCAAGAGGCTGGCGAGATCCAAGTTTCTGCTTTACCAGAGGGCGGTGAGAGCTGCACGCGCACAGACAATCCAGCATCGGAGTCAGGAGGAGCGAGAGACAAGCCTGTAGATGGCAGCGGCTCTGGCACAGCTGGCGAGATCAAGCATGAGGAGGATGCACTTGCACAACCTCAGCGTGTCAAGCAGGAGTTCGGGTTCCGCCGAAGCGGCTTGTCGGTGGCGGCGCCTGCCGTGGCTTCAGCGGCTTGTGAGACTGGTGCGAGTGAAGGCACGTGTGCGGCCGTCGGCATTGACGTGGACTCCGAGGACGACGGCGACTCAGACTCATTGAACAAGTTTTCCTTGACTGAGCGCTTGCCCAAGGGCCAAGTGTACATCAGCTTCGGGAGGATTCGTGGGACAATCAACCAGTACGTTGAGGCTCTGTCGCACCTGGGCTGGCTACCAGACTGCAGGATACAGACCGTACAAGCACTCGAGCGCCGTTTGAACCAGCACAGCAGTGAGATCTCCCAGCAAGCGAACGTTGACATAAAGACTTCATTCAAACAGCTTTCGATGCGCGTGGAGACAACGATCATCCTGTTCAAGCTCTTCAAGACGTGGCACGACGAGAACAACGATGCGTCCTTGGTCCATGTGCTTGATGCAGTTTGCAAGTTGAAACCGTTCCTTCGTTTCCAGAAGAAGTCTGTGGGTGCCGACTTGGAGATGATCCTTATCTACGCGCAGTTCTACAAGGATTTGGCCAACGGCATGGGCATTGACGAGGCAATCAATTCGCTGAACTTCGACCGTCTCACTGAGTGTCACAAGATCGCAACCGAGAATGCTGGCAAATTGACGGGGGCGATGACCAAGACCACCGACGGCGCGAAGGTCAAGGATAAGGACGCCGCCGATGGCACAGCAGAGGGCGAAGCATCACCTTCGAAGAGGCGCATGCAGTTCACCATGCCGAAAGACGTGATCGCCAAGCGTGTATTGGTCCATCCCGTCGAGCAGTTCGAGAAGCTGGTGGGCGATTCCATGGCGAAGTACATCTTCACCTTGAGCCCCGACATCGTGAATGACCAGAAGGCGGTGCAGCATTGCCATGAGCTCATGGAAAGAACGCGCCAGGCGTGGCTTACCAAACACAACGGCTGCCTCAGCAATAAGGTGGGCCAGCTTCTCGACGCGTTCGCGACGATCGCGCTGTGCGCGAAGTCGGACGAGAGGGAGAGGCCCAGCGTCGACAGTGCGAGGTGGGCCAGGAGGACAGTGATGGCGGCAGCGAAGGAGGATGCCCCATCACCAGAGATGGCAAAAACAATGGCGGTCCACCCTGCAGGCATGGCGTTCATGAAACGGGCTCTCAGCCACGCCAAGGTCGGCATCGAGGATGAGGCTGCGAGCAGCGGGTTCGAGTTCAGCGTCGGCCGCTTCGAGGACTTGCTCGATCCAGCCTTCGAGAACGCAACCTCTTGGCTGAAGGCGGGGAATGGCGGCAAGCCGATGACCTGCGATGCGTTCGGGAAGTATTTCGAGGCGTGCATGGTGATGAGAGTTGCTTGCGCTCAGGCCCTCCAGCGCTGGTCCACGAGCGCCTTGGAGCAGCACGCCGAGACTCTGGCGAGCGCTGGGCACGACTGATATCCACAGCCACTTCCACATCCCTATCCTTCCTCATCTAACTCCTCCTCCTCACCCCCGCCTCGACTCCGAAACCGACCGCCACGCTAGCTTGCCTTTTTTAATTGGGCCCGCCCTGCCTTCGGAAACTCGCCAGGGGGGGGCGGGAGAGGATGGAGGGAGGGGTGCAAACCCAAACGCGACGTCCCTCAACACGTTTGCTGAGTGCGCTGCTCGTGCTGCGCATGCTGTCGTTGCTGGTCGTGCTCGCTCTCGTAGTCGTCGCCGTCCCCCAGCTGTCGTCGTCGTGCTGCTCGTGCTGATGCTGGCCCCCCTCCTCGGCCTCCCCAACTCCCTCTGTTCTTTGTGTAAATGAAGTGGCTGTGTGAGTCTGGGCCACAGGCGAATACTGCATCAAACATGTACGTCCTGTTGCACGCAGGGAACTTCGTCTACATAGATACCGTCAGAGGTTGAATCGGCCATCTCCTGGGGCAAGCTTCACAGGCGGGCATGGCAGATTCGTGTGCTGCCGCAGGCGGCGACAATTCAGGCCCCATCCAGACAGAGGTCGTCAAAGCCGAGTGCGAGTCGACCCAGCCTGGCGGCGACGGCAATGTGCAGCCGACAATGCCGTTCTCGTCGCCAGTCCGCCTCTTCGCTCACATCCGTGAGATCGACGCCACTGTGAAAGCGATGCGCCCGCGCTTGAGAGCCTTCGTTGAGCTGATGCTGAAGTCTGCGCTGGGCGCCCAGAAGCTGCACAAGCTCGCGGCCACCAGAGTGGGCGGCTCTTGGCACGATCACTTCGACAAGGACGCGTCGGGCGACACTGTCCTGAGACATTTCAACCACAACGTTGCGGTCATCGACAAGATTATCATATACCTTGAGAGCCTTCACTTGCTTGCCGACCCAGACTGGTGGCTCGACGGCGAGTCACTTTCAAAGAGCAGCACCAAGCCCGACGAGCAGGCCCTCTGCAACTTCAGCAAGGTCCACCACGAGCACACCTCAGTCACGCCCTTCACCGTGCTGACCTCATCCACCCTCGATCTCCCCGAGGTCGGAGATGACATCGCAGCGTTGTTCGCGGCGTTTGCTGAGCATGTCGGCCAGCGCATGTACGACTTCAAGGCTACAGCGTTCTTGGTAGATAAGAGTTCTACGATTTCTGACGTGGAGGTGCTCCTGGGGAGCGTTCACGCCGACGTCTTAAAGGAGTGCGACGACTCGGCCCTGTATCCTCACTTGCTGCCTAAGGGCGATGCCGACAATGTTGCGAAGCTTGCGCCCATTGATGTTTCTGGAAGCAAAGGGGATCCCAAGGTGTTGGAGCTTCTCCCTCATAACCGAGCTCTCGAGCACCTGCGATGCTTCATCAGAGCAGTCATGCTGACGGAGATCGACGTCCCTGGCATGTTCTACTCAACTGTGGATGCACCGGAGCCCAGCATCGACCTGTGCATGTTCGCTATGGAGCTCAAGTGCGCTGTCGCCGACGTGGTCGCAGTCATTTCCTCAGCCGAGGTGGCTATAGGCAGGAAGGCTCGCTCCAAGGATAAGCAGTTCATGAGTCAAGGGTACCTCTGCGGGACGGCCACCTTCATATTGCAGATCCTCCACGGTGCGCGACAGAAGCTGGACAGCATGGCCAACGACCCCAGGGCCATGGAGTTCGAGAAGACAGGCTGGCAGCTCCGCGAGTCGATCCACACCATGCGTCACTGGTGCTTGTTGGCGGCAAGAGTCAGCGGGCGTTACGAGAGCATGCTCTTGCTGGGCATGGCCGAGGTCTTGACCAACGAGGGACAGGCGACGGCAAAGGTCACCCCTACTTGGACAGCATGTTTCGTCGACGACGTGTTCAACGAGACGATGGCAATGGCGATGCTCAAGAACAAGCTGGACGTCGTGATCAACCGCCACAACTCACTCCACACCTGCATCAAAGCCTTCTCCACGTCAGCAGCCGTGCTGTCCATCAACCCCCGCGTGCAGGACCACCCGACGACGTCCGAGTCAGTGAACGTGGCACTCCAGTTGCTGAAGGACGCTGCGGAAGCAAGCGTGGTCATCAGGGGCGTCGACCTGTTGACTGCGTATCGTCATCGCCCTGAGGGGCCGACGAAAGCGACGGAGTTCTTGACGGAGAACGAGGGTCGCTACCCCAAGGTACCGCAGTGCTTCTGGCAGTTGTTCAAGGACCTGCAGGCGCACGCACTTCCAGCCCAGCCTTTGCCAGCACAGGCTGGCGAGGCGTTGGCCCCTGGCGCAGGCGCGTCTGGGGGCGGAGCCCACCTCACGCCAGCCAAGAAAAGCTTAGCGGACGGGTCTATTCACACTCCGACCCCAAAGAAGCCGCCTGCCCCGAGTTCAGCCGATGGCAGTCAGCACGTGAAGGCCAAGGCCCCTAGCGTTTCAGATCGCCCCGCCAAGGGTTTCAAGCGCGCCAAGCGCTCCTGAGCCTCAGGAGTTTCAAGCGCAGCAGGCACTAGCATAGCATGCAAACGTAATGCAGCATTAAGCAGACATAGACACATAAGGGATCAGCATATTGCATATATCGTGACACGCATGCTTGTGCAAACACTCTGGGCCGCTGGTCTGCATTGGGCTGGCTGTATTTAGCTAGGGTGCCGCAATGCAGTTTAGGTTTGGATTCTAATCTCGGCTGGATGCTCTCAGAGTGCGAGCCGACGTCGAGGCAACGAGAAAGTGGTGTTGAGGGTGTTGGGGGCGCGCCATGCGTCGGGCGGTCGGAATATCGACCCCGTCTACTCCGACCGTCGGAGTATCGCGCGATGCAGCGAGCGCACCGTCTACTCCGACCTCCGACGTACGGCACATCGGGCTCCACATCGAGCTGCATCGGCGATGCATCGGCGATGCGGCGCGATACTCCGACGGTCGGCGTGGCCATTGCTTCACGTGCCGTTGCATTCAATACCGTTGGCATATAAGGATCCTCTCACACACACGCGTAAACACATGTGCTTTGACCTGCGTACCACTCGTGCGCCACTGATGTTGCCAGCCATTTTGTCTCATCACTCTTCCTCGACCTCCCGTCCTCCTCCTCCACCTCCCCCTCCTACCTTTCTGATTTGTCCCCCGTCCCCCCATATGTCCTCCCAAGTCCCTATCTTCCCTTGCCTCCTCGTTCCCCTCCACCTCCCTCGCATCCCCTACCGTCCCCTCCTCGCCCCCTTTATCCTCACCCTTACATTCCTCACTCTCCCTCTCGCCCCCCTCCTCCCCCTGCCCTTGCGCCGCCGTGGATCGTGCGTGATTCTGGCGTTTTGGGAGCTGCATGCTAAATGCGCTTCGGCGCCAACGCGCTGATTTGCCGTTCAAGCTTGCGATCGGCGCGGAGTGTCCGAGTTGACCGCCCAAGCCCTTCCATCAACAAGGAGTTGGCGGACCCCCCTGCCGACCCGCCCTGACGTGCATTCGTGGGGTCCTTCCAGTCCAGCCCCCCCAGACGAACCCAAATCCTCGTTTCCCGATCTCGATCCTTGAGCCTCGAGCTTCCATGCGAAATCGGCCCGTGGACCTGTCGATGGGGCGCGCTCTGGCCAGACTCTAGTCGCTCTCCAGCCGTGGCGGCGAGGGCGTCCCGGGGCGCGAAAGGGGGGGCGAAAGATTTGGACAAGTCGCGACGACGACGACAACCCGGGATAGTTTTTCGTCCTGGATCCGTTTTTGACGGTCCCAGGCCCCGAAAGCGGCTCCCAGAGGCCTAAAACGAGCAAGAATCCTTGAAGGTCGGGGATCGACGACATACTACGACGACGACGACGACGACGACGACGACGACGGCGGCGGCGGCGGCGGCGGCAGCAACGACGTCTTCGGCGGCGGCGGCGGCGCGTTTTTGCTCGACGTTTCCGGGGAGATTTCGGGCCCTAGGGGGCCGCCGTCGGGCCCCAGGGCCGCCAGAAACGGGCAAACCAGAAGGACCTCCGACTCGCCGCGGTGGGGGCAACGCAACGCGATATTGCCTGCCCGGGCGGGGCAGATTCCTCCTCCACACGCTCCTTCTCGTGTTCCTCCTCTCCCTCATCGTCTCGGCATCCCTGCCCCATCCTGCTCTCTCCGAGCGCGGGCGGCAGAACGAGGGGGAAAAAGGCAATCGATGGGGGGGCTTGGCAAACTTGAGATGACGGGTGCGTTTTCCGTAGCCTGGCACGTAGATCGCTGACGCGGCGGCCGATGGGCGAGGAGGAATGGAGGAGAGGAAGACGAACAGGGCGGCCGAATCCGCCACCGCGCTCTGAGGCGCAAGTTGGAATGCCCCCAGGTCTCCTGCCTAATACCCCCGAACCGACAGCTCGAGCCTTCCGCCCCAAGATGCCACCGGGAGGCTCCAAGAAGCGCCCGAGCCACCCTGGAAGCCCCGGGACGACCCTAAGAGACATTGAACTGCCTCCAAAAGGTTTTCGAGAGGTCTCCCGCGACATCTCGACGAACGTCCAAGAAGCTCATGACCACGAACCCAGGCACGGTGGTGGAATGGGCCGAAGGCAATACAAGAGTTAGCGGCTGGCCCAACCACGGGAGGTAGGGCAGTGTCGCCCTCGCCCCTGCAAAAAATTAACAATGGCATTGCGCCAACCTGCATGCAGCTCACTGCGAACTCTGGCGAGCGGCGTCCGCCAACTCTTGCTCCAGCCGCAGCTTTGTCTCGGGCTCGAGCATGAGACGGGCGCGTTCGCTCTGCTGGAAATACATGACGCCATCGTCGACCCACGCGGGCAACGCCGAACTGTGGAAGTGCATGTACAAAAACCGCAGGAATGACAAGTCTGCAAAAAACTTGAAAACTTTCTCTCCTGCAGTCTTAGTCTCGGATGGCCAGTGCGAAGCAGTGATGGCCCAAGACTGTTCGACTGGGACGGTGCCGGATCGAGGGCCCACGCCGGCGGCCCGCAAGCCTTCGGCGCACTCTTGCCACGCAAGCAAGCCGCTCAAGCGTCGCGACTTGAGAAGGCGGCTGTAATGCCGCCGCAGCTTCGAATTGAAGACGCATCTGCGGCCGCGCACTTCCTGGGCGCAGGCTGGGCAGACCCTCAGGATGCCGCGGCGGCGGCGCGCCAGGCGCTTGGGACTACTGTACCAACGTCGCATTCGTTTAATTTCCCGCTTAAATGCCTTGCGGCTCCTGTAGTTATCCGCCGCCGCGCCCCAGGGCGCGACGTGGCGCGCGGTCAATCGCTCTAACGAGACGCCCAGCATCTCCAGGAAAGCTGCCAAGAGGTCCCCGAGAAGGCCCCCGAAACATTTCCCAAATGCTCTAGGGCCCCGCCCGCGACCCGAGAGTGGCGGCGGGGCGGGCCGAAGGCCGCGAGATGCCACCCGTGCGCGGCGTCGAGCTGGGCCCCTGCTCGACGCGCAACCCGCGCGAGCACGGGGCGCGGCGGCTGCGCGCCGAACGCGCTCTTCCAGACGCCTTTCGCGCGGAGAACCCCTGGCGACGAGAGGAACGCGCGCAAATCGCGCGCGCCGTCTGGATCCTGCGCGAGCGCTTCCTGGAAGGACGCGGCAGACTGAGCCACAGCAGTCCGCAGGAGGTCGCGCCCGCGCTCTCCAAGCGCCGGCACGGGAGGCGCGCCTTGCGGTTCCTCGGGTGGGCCGCGGGGCGCGTTCAGCCGGCCGATCAGGTCAGCGTGGTCGTGGCAGAAGTCCGCCGGAGCCGTCGCTCTCCGCGCCCGTCAAGGCGCGCGGCCGCGCTCCTCGTCACGTCATGCCCCGTCGCCCCTGCGGGGAAAACCGAACAAATGAACCGGTGCTGGCTGGGCTCTGGCGCCCGGCAGTTCGATGGGCCAGCTGAGATCTAGGCGCGGCGGATGCGGCGAAGCCGACTGGATCCGAGCTGTCGTTCCACGCACCTCCTCGCGTTGAGGACGTCGTGGAACGGCTCGCCTGCCACGAGCACGCCGACGGAAGGCGCGACTATGCAGCACGCGGCGAGTGGGCCGCGCGGAGTGGCACCAGCCGTCCGCACCCGGGCAAGCTGGCACGCCTCATTCACCACGTCGGCGTACTTCTTGAAGTGCTTGTTGTAGGAGTCGGTGCTGACGAACGCAGGGCACGCGTCCTCCAAGGACATGCCGGCGGCCTGGCGAGCAGAGACGATGTCCGCGAGCAGAGGCTGCAGCACGCGCTTGATGTCCATCCAGGCCTCCCCGCGGACGGGGGCGACAGGCAGCAGGGGCGATCCGTCCGTCCCGCAGATGCCGAGCACGCAACTGAAGGGCTTCTGGCGGGACTTGCCGGCACCTCTCCAAATCTTCTTCGCCAGCTTGAAGTTGCCGTCCACGCGCAGCCCGGAACCGTTGTAGAGACTCTGCAGGCGCCGCATCTCAGACACTCTCCGCGAAATCGGGGCGGAGAAGGCGCGCGGGGCGATCATGCCCAACATCTTGCGCTTGGGGAGGGCGAAAGCGATGTTGAAGAGGACTGCCCGCGCGCCGGCGTCGCTCAAGCCCGCCTCCGCGCCGCGCGCGACGGCGACGTACTCCCCGAGCAGCTGCCGACGGCACTCGCGGAAGTTCAGCGTGTCATTCAGGCAGAAGAGGAATCTCGCCAGGAACCTCCCAGTCACGTAACAGCGGCCCTCCTTCTGCCCGCCCTCCGCCGCGTTGCCGCGGATGACGATCGCGTCAGGGACGACGCGCACCACGTCCTCGTCGGCGACTGGGAAGTAACAGCGATGCCCGACGTCGTCGCCGCGCCCGCCGCACGACGCCTGCGGGCAATGCCCATGTTCGTGGACAGCCCATGCACGTGAAGCATACCCACCTCTGACGGTCCAGCTGCACTGGCCACGGGAAGTCCCAAACGTAGCTCCCGCGCCTGCATTCCCCGCTCGGCTGCAGCGCGGCCCCCCCCTGCTGACGCGCGACCCAGTGCCGGAATTGCCGGGCGTGATCGTCGGCGGCCTTCGGGATCACGAGGACTGGCGCCGCGGGCCGCTGGCACGCGGGCGCCGCGACGTTCATGCCGGCGAGGGCGTGGCGGAAAGACTGCAACATCTGCGCGTCTTCCACGAGAGCGCGCGGAGCCACCGATGCTGCGCGCCCGCCATCCGACACGCCCTCGGGCACGCGCGCCATCCATGGAACACCGCGGACGATCGACCGGCAGCGCCACCGATGCTGCACGTCCGTGAGATCAGAACCGGCACGCGTGGTCAAACCACGCCGCAAACTCGTCCTGAGCACGTGCGCGCCGCCAGCGGCGCCCGCCCCAGAGCCTTGGACTACGGGGGCCACGTCGCACCGAAGGCGGCCGCGGCACACGAAGGCGTCGAGGACGACCACCTCCTCGCCTCGAAGTTTGCCAGCGAGCCCTGCCCGCGGGGCCAGCGTCTCAGCCGGGCCGCCGTCGCCGCTAACAAGTCCACACTGGAGCAGTCGGGCCAGCGTGCCCCGCGTGCGCCCCGCGCGAAAGCGCAACGCCAGGCGCGCCCGCTTGTCTGCCCGTGCGCCAACGCCTGAGCGGGCGGAGTCCCGCTGGGCCAGCGCAGCGTCCAGCGCCGCTGCGTCGCGCGGACCGAGCTCTGGCAGGGCCGCCCGAGGCGCCCACGCCTTGCGCGGGTGCGCCGGTGCTCTCGGCCCCCCTTCGGCCGAGCGGCTTGGCTCGCGGGCGGGCCCACCTCGGGCGGCGGCAGCGGCCGCGCCTGGGCAGGCTCTGCGCCGCGCTCCCCGCGCAAATCCTTCCAGGTGGGCCTTTTTCTGGGCCACGGCGGCGGGCCCCCGGTCGGGCCTCTCTTCGGCGGCATAGACGCTCTGGTGGCCGAAGACGCGATCAGCGAAAGCCCGGGCCTCTGGCTTGAGCCCAAATGGTTGCAGCGATGATGACGACGATGGCGATGCATGAGATCACCTAACCGCGGCCAGGGGGGGCGCAACGCGATATCGCCCGCCCGCGCCTGCGCCGCCAACCGCGGAGATGATCCAAGATAGCCTAAGAGGGCCCCCGAAATAGCACGGACAGCCCATGGTGGCCCCCGAGACGGCGCAAGGCGGCGTAGACGCTCCCTTGGAGCGAGCCCACTGGGGGCTATAAAAGCTCTCTTGGGCCGCTGTGGGGCCCGGGCCGCCCCGGGGCCGCGACGGAGCCCCCGTCGGGGACCTATCGGGCCATGGTCGAGCGAAGGGGCCCCGCAGACGCAGCAGAAACGCGCGGGCGCGTGGATCGCCTTTGCCGCGGCCGAGGAAACGAGGGGTGGCCGAATACTTGGCGGCTGGCGCAATCGCCGCGCGCAGGCTGGCAGCGCTGTCGCCACGACAGCGAATTGAAGCAACGGTGTTGCGCCGACCTGCGCGCGCCTCGGCAGCGGGGCTGCTGGGGCGCCTTCGAGGATGCATGCGCCGCTTCAGGGATCGGGGAAAACCTCTACCGAGACGCCGAGGCTGCGGCGAAAGGCCGCTTGCTTCTCGGACTGCTTGAGATAGCCCACCTTCACGAAGCCCTGGTCCGCGCCGGGCGCCTCTTCGAGCACCCCGC